TGCCCACCAAATACTTGTTGACCATTCCATGCATCTTTCAGAGGAAGTTTCGGTCATCCCCACGACCGAAGCACAGTTCGGTTCGGATCGTCAGAAATAGTGGCAAGGCTCAAATGTGTTCCGGTAATCCAAAGTCTGAAAGACCTTGCCAATATTCAAACCAAGGCACCACATGGTAGAGAGATCCTTGAAATCCACATATTGGAAAGGGTCCAAGGAGTAGCGCACAGCCTGAAATCTGGTCACCATGGCCGGCATCATTGAGTCTCCCACATACTACTCAAGTCTTCTTAAAGGAGGGCTGCTGGCGCAAAAAAATTGATTGCAGCTTACCCGCTCCGCACCAGGCTTGCTTGTGCAGGTAGAGGTCAATGTGGCACTTGGGTAAGAACATGTCAGAACGTGCAAAGATTGCATCACCACAGCGGAACTTTTGAGGCTTTGGATGGGTCATCCCACGACTCCCACTTCGTAACCTGCCTGGGAAGGCGACAAAACGGTGTGAGATCTCAAAGCAGCTTTTGGGGGTTCGAGTCTTTTCTTTCGAAGCAAGCTCAATTCAGGAGCTGACCTTGACCCTGCTCAAAACAGTTCTTGAGTCTTTGACTTTGGACCTCTTTGGAAGTGCCGAACTGCATGTAAGTCCACGCCTTCCCATTGCTTGAAGAAGGAACCAAGTAGCCTGGGTGATGTACTTTCAAGACACTTTCATTCGCTGAGCACAGTAAGCACACTAGGCACAGCTGACCTGCATGCAAACGAGCCACTCGAATGCGGGAAATGACACTTGATACCAAATGAAACAGCCACTCCACCCTGACACTGTCAGCCACCATCGGCAAAGCTTAGCAGCTAACCCTGCAGGCCCAGGCACCGTAGGTCCCATCTGTGACGGTAGATGCAAACTGTATGAAGCCGGAGTCAGTCAACTCAAGATTAATCACATCCACCTGAAAACAGGACCCATGTGGCACGGCAAAACCATTCCTGTGTGTGGAATTCAGACTACAATATGTAGCCCATGAACCTGAATGCGCACACGTCACGTATGCGGACAAACCCCAGACCCACTTTGGGACACGCTTATCGCACATTCTTGTGGGACACTCTTGCAACACTCAGAAGTGAGACGCTCTTGTAAAACACGCTCTTGTGGGACACTCTTGTAGAATGTTCTTGTGGCATCTTGTGGCACAGTCTTTCGGAGCACTCTTTTGGGCACTCTTGTCGCGCAATCCTGTGGGATTCTCTTGTGGGCACGTCAAAATTAAGGCATCAAGTGAGCGTATCATTGGAGACTTCTTCCTAAAGTCACGCGCCAAGTCTTCAAAATGAGAGTTTCGTTTGAGACTCGTTCGGCGACCTTGTCAAACTGCTGCCTGGCGCCGCAAGGAAATGTTCCGGTTCTGCAAAGCACCGTAAACATCACCGCTGCCAGACGGCTTTTCTGAACCGTGCCTAGCACTTTCCGTTATTGGGGAAACAACTTGATTCTCATCAAGCGTGGCCATTTGCTGGTCCATCAAACTAGTTTCCGTGAACTCTGGCGGTCTGGGGGTAGTGCGATGTTTACGTCTGCAACCGTCCGCAACTGTTTGAATGTCCGTCTGCAACCCTCCCGTTGAGGGAAGTCACTTGGCGTCGCCCTGCCGTCGTCTTTTGGAGATGTTGAGTGTCGCTTTGCCAAGGGATTGCGATGTCAAGGCGCTTTCCTCTTTGTTTCCGTGACAAGTCTCAGGTAGAATTTGGACTGAGGGATCTGGTTGAAGTAGCAATATGATGCAATATGTCTAAATCATTCCCAACGTGTACTGTTGTGCAAGTTTTGCTACTTTTCGTGGCAGGCGCGGTACTTTGTGCGGAGAATCGTGGGGTGGCGATGTTTGGTGCAGGTCAATGTCGCAGTGCCATTGGGATTGGCGTGTCGGTGGAGGGGCTCGGATTGCGCTGCCTGGCGGGGCTGCGCGATGTGTTCGCATGTGCTCGCACTAATGACCGAAGCCTCGTACGAAACTCTCGTTTTGGAGACTTGACACATGACTTGATCTTTTGGAGGAAGTCAGTGTCTTTTGACCATCATACCTGTGCATGTTTGCAAAACTGGTGAATCTTCTCCAAGCTCCGAACCATCCCGGAGAATGATGTCGGGAACCTGCGTCGACATGCAGGAAAGCTTTGCGGAGCTTCCCATGGTCAGGCTTAAAAATGTGGACCACAAAGAGCTTGCCATGTCCAAAAATAGCTGAGAAAACACGTGATGCAAGCCGAAGCTCCGACAGCTCCAAGTGATTAGCAATCGTCCAACAAAGACCCGCGCAGTGTGCTCATCATTAAAGGGATCCATGTTGTGGGGTGATGAACTGAGTTCAGAGAGTTCCTGGAGGAGTTGATGTTCAATGGCAGAATTTGTGCATCCTTTTGGCCATTTTTCGCCTCACTAATCTGCCATTCGACGATGGTGCCAAATATCCATAGCCATTCACCTGGCTATTGGATGGCTGCTGGCTGAACGTTTTGAACCGACTTGAGGAAGAACAGATGACACAAAATGAAGATTCCATAATCGCTTTCCTGAAGGACCGAATGCATGTTCATTCAAATCAAAAAGGCCTCTCTCCCAGTGTTACTCTCTCTGTCTCTATCCATCTCTATCCATCTCTATCTATCTCTATCTATCTCTATCTCTATTTCTCTCTCTCTCTCTCTCGCGCGCTGACTCTCTGTCTCTCTGCCTGTCTGTCTGTCTGCCTGCCTGGCTGGCTGGCTGGCTGTCTGTCTATCTATCTCTATCTATCTCTATCTATCTCTGTCTCTGTCTCTATCTATATCTATTATATCCATCTGTCCCGTCTTTGTCTTCCCTTTTCTTCTGTTCTGTTCTGCTCTGTTCTGTCTTTTGTTCTTTTCTTTTCTGTTAATGTTCTTTTGTATTTGTTCTTTTCTCGTCTGTTCTTGTCTTTTCTTTGTTGTTCTTTCTCTCCATCTCAAAATCCCCAAATCTCTCTCTCCCTCCCTCTCTCTTCTCTCCTTCTTTTGCAGAATGTTGTCAGAACTGCCCACGATTAAAAATGAACTGCTCCAAATAACAAAGCTAAGTCTGGCACCTGGAATCCAGGCATGAAACTCTGAAGATTTGCATCAGTGTCTTGGAGATTCAAGTAGTTCAGAGTACCTGCGATTTCGGAAGATGCTAAAAGGATGAAGTGGCACTTTCCATTATAGGTGTCGTCCACGTGATATCGCCATGTTTTAATACCTTTACACCAGATTGAAGCCAGGTTTGTCTCATGACGCTCCTATTCCGAGCCCACCGGGGGAAATCATCAACATGTGCCGCGCTAAATGTCGTATGGATGGAATTGTGCAACACTGTAGCTCGCAAGGAAAGGCTGATGGACCTATGTGAACGTGTCACCAGAGCAGTTGTCAGTCTTTCAAAACTACAAGGAGAGATGCATAGAGATGTGGCGCCCGCCATTTTTTTACAAGCCAGTTGAGCACCACTCTCAACCCCTTGAAGCTTTGGCCCATGTGTCACCTGGATTTCCAGAGCCGTCGCTTCCACCTTAGTGCAATGGCGGGGCGTCTGCTTCTCCATTGCGTGCCAGTGCACATCCTGCATAGTTACAGAGAATATAATATAGTTTGCAGAGAATGATCTTGTGAAACAATGTGGGGAAAATTACCGCACCTGGCACCAAGTGTTCAACAGCCATCGATTGCACATCACGGACGTGATACTGATCCAACTAGTCAATAATCGCCAGTTCGGATGTACAGAATTCCTGAAGCGCAGACAAGACTCCAAAAGTTGCGAGGTCAAACTTGCAAACATATGAAGTCTGCCTTAGAGGGCGTGGACCTTGAATCGAGCCCAGGACCGCACAAAGAGACATTTGTTACAAAATATAACTTGGAAACATCACTAAATGAGAGTGCCCACGGATTCATCAGTGTCATCCGGTCAGCAGGTTGCACATCACCTATGAGGTCCTCCTGGTCAACCCTGGCCAAGGGACGATGGCACTAGAAAGGCATCGGTTCCGTCTGTGAAACCTCCTGAGAAGCCCTTGCAACTGCTGTGCGCCTCAGTTTGCCAAGTCGTTTCGGAGCTGTGGTCACACAGTTGCTGGATTATATAGTCATCATCAGGCTGTGCTTGTGAAGCCGTGCTTCTGAAGCAACTCATTTGCAGGTAATGGTGCTTGGTCATGTTCCCTCTCAGTCACCATGACGCAGACGCACAACTCAGTGACAAAAAAGATCTGCCTGAACGCGGACAAAACATCATAGACGCTTTCCGCTGGCTGGGTTCGTCCGAGCATGACCACATGCACTGACCGAGACACCAACAAACAGTCAAAACCAAACATGCCAGGACACTGTCAAAACACAGCCTCGACACCATCAAGACACGACCAGGACTTCATGTTCATTTCGAACGCGGTACAGGGAGGTTCTGACTGACGTTGGTTCTGGCCTGTTCATTTGGTAGAGCAAGACCACCCTGACAAAGCAGCTGTGCTTTTAAAGCGCGGCTAAAACGTTCAATCAACACGGAGGAAAGAGACTGCAAAGAGAGACTTTCAGCCTATCAAGGTGGGACAGCAACAAGTAAGACATTCAAAAAAAGAACGGTCAAGACACCAATCAAAGCAGGACTGGGACTATCAAAAGGTGACCAGCACCCATCGATCCGTGACCGGCACCCAATCCATGCGCGGCCGACCGCTTACGATGGAAGACTGGAAGACCCCTACCTTGAAACTATTGACTCATCGACGTCCGCAACTCCAAGCGATCTTGCATGTCTCATGGGTTGGTTTCCACAAACGGGACATTGCTCTCCGAAAACGTGTTGCACTGCCCGAGGCGCTTGGGAAATATCGAGCGTCAGGAATTCTTGGAACGTGGCCTGGCCACAACGTCACAGCGGATTGTCAGCAGGTGCACCCCACAAACTAAGTCTGGGAATGTTGTCGTCCCGCAAACCAGGAAAACCTTGACTTCCCCTGATGGTTATGTTGTCACACAATGTGCAAACGACATGCACACAGGCTCTTTTTTGCAAGCGGTGCTGTCGCTTGTACTAGATTGAAAGCACCTGTCAAATTATACCGGCATAGACCTCAAACAGTTTCAGCAGAATTTGTGTGGCGTCAATTCTTTGAATGCCAATGTTGCTGGAAACGTCTGTAATTGTATTCCTATAGCCTTGAGTTGTTAGAGCATGTGATACACAAACAATTTTGGGACGCCTTGCATTCATAGCCACAAGGAACAACAAATCTGGACAAGGCGGTCAAGAAACGGACAGTGCTGCGGCCAAGCAGGGGCAGGACAGAGAGTCCCGGACAAGGCCAGGAAGGCGCGGCCACGGTTATCGTGGCCAGCCCGTTTTTTTGCCTTAGAGAGAACCCCAACAGTATTCCCCGTCAAAAAAGGGGAACAGTTGTGCAGCACAAAGCTTGACCACGAGATCTAATTGCAACGAGCAGGTAGAGCAGATCGCAGCGAGGCACTTGTGCGGAGATATAGATTGTTGTGAATGTCTCAGAAGTATTAAACACATGTCACAGAAAGTCAGTTTCAGCCCATAGCTCCGTGGTCACAAGGAAACAAAATTGCTACACGCTTAATCCACACATATCAACACCGCAGGGAATCCTGCGTTGATATCAAATCAAAGGTGTACCTCATGTTGTTTGATCCTCCCATAAACCTGGACCTCCAGCATAGGTTGATGGCCTTTACACAAGAAGAAGTCCTTTGGTCAGTTCAAAGTTTGGAACAAATGAGAGGTCTAGCAACTCTAATTGGTGAAGGACCCGAAATGAATTCGAAACGGTTGGACAAAGTAATACGAATAAATTCAAGGTCCAATCCACCATTGCTAGTCCTCCAGCGGATACCCAGCACTGCGCCTGGTCAAAGCGCACAACCAAGCTCTCATCATGCTGCGGCGGCAAGTATCCTCAAGAAGGGCTCTTGGGAATCAAAGCAGACTCGAAATTCGATAGGACAAGGACCTCTGTGGATCCTAAACACAGACATCAGAGACTGGCAGCGGAAGTCATGTATTGATGCCAAAAGAACAGAAAAGACACTTATATAGCTCCTTACACAAACAATCCGTTTCTCCATGATTCTCCTACGAGTACAGGCAAACTGCTTAGTCACACCACTCAGGCACACCGAGAAAACGTTCAAACCGTCCAATCATGTGTCGATCAACAAAACCTATATAAGCTTGCTGGGGCCAAGGTGGTCTCTGACCAGAGCTCAGCTGAGCAATGCTTCAATCTTGCTGGCCAAATGAACTGTTAAAGACTAAACCTGAGATCATGAGGGGCGAATGCTACGGTCTTTGGCAAACATGAAGCGGAGAAACATCTTTGCCTCGAAATTCAGCTGCATCCAACACTCAGTCCAACCAGCACAAGATCCATGCAAAGAGTCTCTTTTTCGACCAAGTATTTTGTTCCAGCTCCAGGCAAGGCTCCGTAGTAGTCATCCATGAAGCCGGCTTCGGACCAACCAACCTGATTTAGGCCACCTTGGTTGAGAGGGGACTGAAACTCTGCAGCGAAAATTCGAAAGATTAAAGAGTGAGAGCCATACATCTGAGCACACGTTCTCGTATAATTCTGGGTACATTCATTCGATGTACATAGGAAGGAGTATTCAATTCAAGACCAAAACAAAGCCCGTGTTTTACCTCTTTTTGCGTCAAAGGCTTCCGAGATGCGTCCACTCGCCGACAAGACTTCCACAGTACCTCCGAGTCACCGGCACTCACTTCGTCGATTTTGGACAGGATCACGTGTGTCAGCCAAAGCTCAAAACACACGACACACGAGAGTGAAATCCATGGTATGTCATGACACCAAGGCCATTCACTCAAGTATTGGGCTTTGACCCACACACGTCTTGAACCTCAGGGCATCGGTTTGTGACAACGAGCTGCCGTAGTTTGCCAGGTCCACTCGGATGAGACCGTCACCACTGGAACCTCGGCACACGCCGGCCTCCCTACTCTTCACTCTGAAGGGTGTCAGGTATTCTTGAATCCCAATTGTATAACCTCTGCAGTCGAAATCCTCACCACTGGCCACGGCAGACTCCCTAGCGTCAACTCCATCCACTCCACACTTTCTCCAAAAATCAAAGAAGAGTGTGGACCTTTCTCAATGACCCCCTCCCCCTGACCCCAGAAACAACGTTTCGTCCAAAACATGCTGCTGTTCCTCCTGCAAAGAAGCTGGGTGGAATCATGTAGACGTAGAGACCATCCGTCATGAACTGGCATCAATTCGGGAGCACAGTCGGTGTCTTGCTCACACTTGGCATCTGAAGCAGTACAGTATATAGAATCTAAAAACAAGTATACCACCGTAGACCCCAAACAGCTTGTGCTTTTCAAAATCGGAACACTCTGCAACTAGAGCTGGCGGCGTCCAGAGCTGGGAGACAAAGGACTGCAAGGCAGAGTCCAGAGCTGGGAGACAAATGTAGACACAGGGAGACAAATGTAAAGGATTGCAAGCGACATGCAGCCCAGAGCTGGGTGACAAATAAAGGATTGCAAGGCAGAGGCGGATGCAGCAGTCTAGAGCTGGCAGACAATTGCAAAGGCTTGCGAGGACACATGTAAAGGATTGCAAGGCAGAGGCGGACACAGCAGTCAGAGCTGGGAGACAAATGTAAAATTAAGGATTGCAAGGCAGAGGCAGTGCAGGCACTGAACCTGGAAAACAAAAGTAAAGAAATCACTTTAAAGACAAACGAATCGAACACCAGCAGTGACAGAAAGGGCGGACACATCTTAAGAAAGAAGTGACAAACCCTACGTAACGGCAAACTGTTTGGGGAATGAATAGAAATGCTGCATCCCCAGCGGAAAAGGGCCGACACCAGCAGTGACACACCTCGGAGACAAA